TCAACCATAAAAATTTACTCTATTAAAAGGACTTTCATCCACACATTCTCTAGGTTGGCATTGTTCTACTTGATAAAGTGGTGGGCACTCCCTCAGAAACATTTGCAACGTTTTTTCATCTTTTTCGGGGAAGGGAGGCTTTAGCACGTCTCTGTTTCTTACTCTTAAAGCAAATTCACAATCTCCTTGGCATTCTCTAAAATTGAAAATAATATAGTCAGATCTCAATATAACTCGAATCCTTCCAGCGTTCGGCGAAAATGCTAGTTATCTTGAGAGAGGTGTAATTAGGTATGTAAAGTGAGGGGCAGTGGTTGAAATTTTGAAATTTGCTCGTACTCTTAATTTCGTACAGGCCTTTTTTTACCTCGTAACAACCACTAGTGAGGGGCTGGTATATCGAGATTCTACCGTGATATAAATTAGAAGTATGACTTTAAGTAATTAAATTAACTTTTACCCCCATTGCCTCCATTTGCTTACAACACATCCTGTAAAATTTATATTTCATTTTTCAAATTTTAAAAATAAAAAAAAAATTCGGAAATTTTTAAAATATAATAATTTTGGTTATACGACACTTGCTGACAGACTTTTCCCGACAAAGGCATTTGGTGATTAACCTGTGAGAGATGCAGACCGAAATTCTAGGGTCGAATTTTACGATTAAGTACCGGAATTTGGGGACATGCTCAATATTAAAACTAAAATAATCACAAATTATAAAAAAACAATAAAGGGTTGTTCAAAATTTGAACATCGTTCCCCATTGTTGGAATAACAGTAACCGTCATTGGAACAACCCTACCCGTTTGGAATAAAATATATCGTAATTTGTGATTATTTTGCTTTACTATACAAATAATTTTTTGCTTAAATGTCCCAAATGTCTGTCATCAACCCTCAGATTCTATCCTAAAATGTCGGTCCGCAAAAGCAAGTGTCGCGCTACAATAATTTTTACTCAGTTCAAATTCATTAAAAATAATTTTAAAACTCACTAGAACTTTTCGATTGTCTAACAATCAAAGCAAAAATTAAAATTATAATCTGTATAAAATCATTTTTCTGCTTCATCAATTTTTAAAGAAAAATATATTTAATTTTCTGGCTTTATTAAACAAGAATGAATGAATAAATGCTGGAAATAAAAGAAATATTTTTTAGTTTTCTTGATTAGCGCATTATATATTAGGGAGAAGAATGAGAAGAATTTATTTATATAAACTTTTATAAAGCGGATTTTTATTAATAAATATTTTTTGGGGAAGAGGGGGGGGGGATATATGTAATTGTGTGTTTAATAAAAATATTTGTTAGCTAAATTGCGTTTGTGTACAAAAAATATAAGAATTAATGGATATAATTACAATGCTACTATCACGTAGCAAATTTCAAGGGTTTCGAATGAGCCCAATATCAAAGTTGAAAATAATCCATAAGACGTCGAAAAATTTTTAAAAAATTTTTTTAAAGAGCCTTATCCCTGTTTTCCGTTGATTTTTGAGGTCTTAGGATCTCGGCTTCAGGTAAAGATATGGGTTTAGTTTTTTTTGACGTAATATCACTATGTATGTTTGCTAGAATTTTTGTAGATTTTTCCTAATCTTGAAAATATCTTTTTCGTAAAGTGGACTTATACTTATTTGAAGGCCGAAAATGCAAATTTTTGTCTAAAAATTTTTAAAATAAAAAAATCAGCCAAAAATCGAAACAAATCTCATTATTTATTCACTAAAAACTGTGTATCTAAATTTTCAGAAAATTTGGATCATTGGAAGTGAAAAAATCTCGAAAAAAGTGATGGACTTATACTTATCTAGAGCAGTGTATAGGACCAGGGATATGATCGTGAAGATGTCAAGTTTAATTACAAAAAGTCTAATTTATAAGCGTATAGGGGAAAAATTTTTCCAAATGTAACTGCGCTACAAACAGACTACATAGGCTGTTACAAACCCTTATAATTACAGCAACTTTAAATTAAATTCTTTAGATGTATACTTAAAATATTTTTAATTTAAAATAACGAACAATAAATAAATATCAATATAAAAAAAAATAAAAAAAAATTCAATGGAAGTCCGATTAATTGTTGCACTGCGCAGTCATCTTTCTCTAATATATAGAAGATACATATATTTTTAAACCAAAAAATCTTTTTTTTCTTTTCTTATAGCTAATTCTTTAGCTATTTTCTTTTTGCCTTTTTAACTAATTCCTTAGCTAAAAGAGCAGAAATGCTTCTTATTTGGGAATGCAAAAAATGTGCTTTTCATTCTACCCATCCAGCTGTGTGATTTTAAAAGAAGAATGAATATATGTAGAGATATTAGATAGATAATCTCCTCTTTCCGATACACTTATCACTCATTCCCAACATCCCCAATCTGTCATGGTTTCGGCCGGTATTTGCGCGTCAGTCAAAAAACCCTTATTTTCGTGGATCCTGGGGTAAAAGTCAATAAAGACTATTACTTGCGAGAATTTTTTCAGCGTGTTGTGAAGCCTCGGTTCAAGAGCCATTTCGGTCGCAGAGTCTGGATTTTCCAACAGGACTCTGCTCCGGCACACAAGGCGAAAGAAGTTAAGGACTGGTGCAAGGCCAATTTTTCTGGGTTCATCAGCGCTCAGGAATGACCGCCCTACTCCCCGGATTTGAATTCGATGGATTATTCTTTTTGGTCTATTTTGGAGTCCAGGGTCTGTGCTATGCCTCACAAAAGTTTGGAGTCTCTGCGCCACTCTCTCACCCGAGTGTGGGACTTAATTACACTTAAAGACGTGCGTGCTATTAGCGAAAATTTTTCTTCGCGCCTTCGCCTCTGTGTCAAAGCCAAGATTGGGCATTTCGAAATTTCTTGATTATTTTTGTTCCTTATTTAATTCTCTATCATTTGATTGTATTTTGATTTTATTTGATTGTGTTTTAATAAAGTTATGAGAGAAAGAAAGTGTCCGGTTACTTATGCCGCACCCTGTAAATAAGAGGACTGGATAAAAAAATATTTTTTAATAAAAAAGTTGGACAAAATTGAAATAAATTTTTTAATAAGAATTTCTTGAAATTTATAGACATAAATGTGTCGATAATTTCTAATAATCTTAAGTAGGGTTGTTGGCGGTCGGTTAAACGAATCGAAAACCGGTATCTTTTGCGAATTATCCGAAACCGAAAGTAGGGGGAAAACCACTGACATAAACTGATCAGTTTCGATTTATAAAGTACACCCCTAAAGATAGTATTTTTTGTGAAATTTTCGGCAATTTTTCCCTAAATACATTCTGTATATCTGTTCGACAAATGTTTTTGGCATTTTTATATTTGAGCAAATTTTTTCTTCAGCCATAATTTATACGAGCTAGTACTTATTTTACTGTTCGCCATTGTATCACTTAATTCATTGTTGAAGAAACTAAAAATCATTTTTTAAAGTTTTTTAAGCCAAACGAAAGTTTCTATTCTTCAGGAATCGTCAAATAGATATATTCAATAAATTATAAGGAAATACTTAAAATAACTCAAAATCGGTTTTTCTAGAATTAATTGAAGATGCAACGTGTTAAATTTCATAAAAAAAATTTTTTTATTTAATTTTTACTTGCGTATATAAATTAAAATACGCAAGAGATTTATATAAATTTTATATAATTTTAGTTTGATAATTATTTATCCAATCCGATAAAATACATAAGCTGTACAAATTCAAACGTGGTAGAGCTGTATTCGAAGTAAAATTTTTTATAATTTTACCAAAGGTTCGCGAGAGTCAGCTACGTGTAAAATTTTTATTTAAATTTATTTAAAGCGTACCAAAATTTATAAATCAAAATTCAGGTATAATAATTTACAAATACATACTCTCATTAAATTGTTGGATTAAAGCTTAAAGAAAGATTTTAAAGCTATTGAGTTATATGTATCTCCACATTTTCCTTTCCATTCACAATAACTCATTTTTAGGCCTGTTTAATACTACAACCCCAAGACTTTCGGTTCTATTTGACGGTTAACGATAATTCTTGTTCGATTTATACTTGCTGTATCGAAAAGCCTGATAAATTTTTAAAAAGGAATGTTATCGCCACAAATCCCCTTTAGTCCTCCTACTCTCTTATATCCGTTTAAAAACTATAAATCCTCCTTAATACTGAAATCGAATTATTTTTGGGTATTTTATCTTGAAAATTATTTTATTAAAACGACATATCCCGAGCCGAATCCCAACCATATTTTGCTCCACCGTTCCGAACCCCGCACCGAAACAAGAGGAAACCCCAGTATCCCGACACACGGCCCTATGAATCTCACATGATTTTTCCGCTCCTCTTCTGAATCTCTTCACTTACCTCTAAAGCTCTGGCCTCTGTTCCATACGGAGTACTTCTCTCCTACTATATATTATACAAACTCTTTTGTTCACTTCAGTCACTCATAAAGATTAGTTCATGGCCTTCATCCTTAGTTTGGCTAGTTTATGTTTGCCGGATGAACCCCAACGCTTTGTCAGGTATGGGTTCTTAAGGTCACAGAGAATTCTTGGAATTCATGGGACTTGAATCCTGTAAAGGTCAATTAATCAAAAGTTGCAAGTTAACTAATTACAGTAAATTTAATTGCAGATTTTTTTGCTTTATTTTGAGGTAAAAAGAAAATGCCAATTTTTAAATTTTATTTAATCGGCTTATTTGCCATAAATATTCTGATTACTAATGCCTTATGTCAACAAAAATATGATTGTAATAAAGAGCCTACTTTTGGATTAAAAGCTTTATGTAATGTTACAATAAATAATGTTATTTTCGGGGAGAATTCGGAGGTTTTTAAAAATTAATTTTTTTAATTTTTAAAAATAATTTTAGAAGTTGGACCCTAAATGTAAGTTTGTGATTTTTTATTAAAAAATTTTTGGGAGGAATGTTGAAATTAAAGAAGAGATACCTAATTATGGAATATTTTATAAAATAATTAAGTCGAGAGACAACAGAGAGAGAGAGAATTTATTATGTAATAGGTTGATCTCTGACATTAGGAGGGCCTCGGGAAAAGTTTTGACACTGAAGAGGTCCTCGGCAAGAAACATCTGTAAGGAATGAACTTCTATAAGGAATGAACTTCTATAAGGAATGAAACGCGACATTTTTGAACTATAGGCTTAATTACAAATTTTATCATTTTTTAAGATTCTCCGAATAATACAGAAGGTATTGCCCCATCTAGAAGAGAGTTGGAGTGTATAACCCAAAGCTGTGTTTGTTCTTATTATGGAGGTATTTTTACCCTTATTTCAATTAATTTATAGTGTAAACTTTTGAAATTTTTATTTTTGAGGTTCTAAAAATTTTTTAGGCAAAACTAATGGTTCTGTTAATGATTGTACCCTTCCAAATGGCCAAAAACTTCAAAAAGCACTTCGAAAAGAAATTAGAATGTTATCAGATAAAGAAAGAAATGATTTTGTAAATTTAGTTTAAAATTAAATAAAAAATTATTTTTAAAGTTTAAAGCAGTCAGAGAAATGAAAAATAAAGGAGGTTTTGATTATATAGCCTTGATACACAGATTAGCCTTCGTAAACGGAGGAGCTCACAATGGACCTGCTTTTTTCGTTTGGCATAGGGAATATCTGAAAAGGTGATAATATTACATCATTTTTCATAGTCGTTAGTTGGCCCAATAGGAACAGTCACTCATGTGAGAGTCACACAATCAGTGTCACTCATCTGTGTGTACATGTAAACTATATAAAGATAAGGTCTTCATATATATATCCTCTCTATCTTAGCCAATTGAAGACTAAAAAAAACAAGAATTGATATAGAAACACAGCACGCCAACTGGAGGGTGCTAGCGAAAACCTTTCCATTTGGGATATCTGTATAGACTTGAGTCCGGGATACCTTCACACTTAATCAGTCAAGCTCTGAGAGTTGATCCGGTCCTCATGTATAGTAAATATAAAATTGCATTATTGGAAGCGTTTGGCCTAACTCTATTTTAATGAGAAGAATGGAAAACATTATATAATGAATTAAATTGTCGAATATTCACATTGCTTACTTAAAAAGTAATGAATTAAAGTGCTATTTAGCCTTTTGAGCTAGATTACACCTTTCGATATTTAATTTAAAAATTTTTTAAGGTTCGAGATTCTGCTTCGAAAATATAACCCAACCCTTGGCTTGCCCTATTGGGATTCTACTTTGGATGGTCGATTGCCAAATCCGGCAGATTCTATTCTTTTTACTAAAGATGTAATACTTTAAATTTAAACAATAAAATTAATTATTAGTTTATTGGATCAACAAATAAACAAGGATATGTTGTTACGGGACCTTTTACTCCTTGGAAGACTCTTGAGGTGATTTTTTATTTATGATTTACTTGAAAATAAATTTTAGGGAGATCCTTATATTACACGTGATGTTGGCAAGGTTGGCAGGTGCTTTACAGAATATGAGTGAGTTAATACTTGTTGTATAAAGTTAGAAAATATAAAATTTACCGACTGTGGACGATTGGGGAGGTTATTTTACCTAGGCAGGAATATCCTAAGGGTACATTGTAGATAGTTCGAAATGAACAGAAAAGGACATATTTGGTTGTCTGCATTGAACAAAAGAATTAATCTGTAGCCGAGGTGGGTACTTTTCTGTTTTGTGACCGCACTTTAAAAATGTTTAAAAAGGGTCATGAATATGGAAAAATTATATGTCATTCGAAAGAGCTAGTCGAGCTGAGTCGAATGACAACAAAATCAGCTCCGTGAGAATTTTCAAGCGAGCCTTCTTAACTTCTTTTTACTTAAACTCTTCTTTAAATTAAAGTCCAAGCCAATTCAAATAAATATTTATTTTAAAGAGGCAATACAATTCAAACCAATAAATTATGGGAATAAATAAAACGGGGGAAGAGCCACTCAAAGAACAAAATTTAACAAATGAACTGAATGAACCGAATGAACAATTTTGGGGAGAGAGAATTTTCTTTTATAGGAACATAAATGGGATAAAATGTCATTTATTTATTTATTTAAATTTAAAGTCATTTGAGTCTGGGCGTCACCACAGCTCGAAATCTTGATTATGAGCCCAGATAAACAGGTTCAAAATGGTCAACGCAAACCTATGGATAGCATAGGTAAAGCTCAAACAAACGATCATAACATTGTCCAATCTTGCTCAATCACGATGATTTAGTGTCTTTCGACTCAGCTTGCCGAGATCTTTCAAATGACATACATTTTGGTCATATTCATTATTTTGACCATTTTTATCCTTGTATCTTTTGACCATTTCGAGCCCGTACCATTTCGAATCCACATGATCTCGGTGTCATTTGACACAGCTTGAGAAGCTCTTTCGAATGACTTATAATTTGTCGATATTCATGACCCTTTTTAAACATTTTTAAAGTGCGGTCACAAAACAGAAAAGTACCCCGAGGTGTATCAGTAATAACAATCGAAAATAACAGAAATTCGAATTAGCCTAAATGTGTAAAGTCGAAAATTTAAAAAATTTTGGAGTACTTAAAGACCCACCCATGAAGAGTACATTGGAGGTAAACTAATAGAAGCATAGGATGGGCTGTACTTTAGTATAGCTACACCGAGATAGAAACTCAAAGTATACTCGTACTTTGTACCAGGTACGAGTACGAGTCGAGGTACGAGTACGAATTTTGGTACGAGCTTCGAAGCACTGTTAAGGACCTACCCTTGAAGAGAGCCTTAGAGGTAGACGAATATGTAGGAGTATGGAATGAAATACATTATAATTTATACTGAACACCTTCAAACAATATTCAAAAAATCCTTTTTTTCAGTGTTGATCGGACACTGTCACAAACAAAGGTGGAAAGAATACTTGCTTATACCTCCGCAAGGCGTGAATGTCCAATAAAACCTGAATGGGATGCTTTTGAAGTGATAAAATTATTTTTATATTTAAATTAATTCTGATTTTTAAAGATCACTCATGGACAACCACACTTATTTATTGGTGGGGACATGGCTACATTTATCCCTAACAAGCCTGGAAATGACCCTATATTTTATATGCACCATTGTTTTGTTGATTTGGTAAATTGTTTAAGTTTCAAAGATTATTTTATTCAAGACTCTCGTTATGACGTACTCGAAAATACTGTAACTGTTGATATACATAAGTATTAGAGAGAGAAGAAATATAGTGTAACTCCCAATTAACACCTACTCTATTTATCAGTAGTGTCCTCACAATTTTATACTAATACTGCAATAACGAAAATATTGCTTAGAACTTTTCGGTATTATTGTATAATACAAAAAATCCATAAATGTCTGAAAACCATTTACATATCTCCAAAACCCAACACACAGATCCTCTCTCTCCAATACTCTTGCATTTTTAGTGCATTTCTAAGAGGATAACGAGACAATGATTAGTTTAAATGCTTACTCTCGCCTTTATTTGTTCAGAATTTTTTCCAAAATAAAAAATCGCCTTATTTACAGGTTGAATAAAAAAAACTCTGTCTTGGAAGCTAAAAATAATTTAGAATTATTTATAAAATTTTTTGATAGGTTTTTGAACTATGGAGAGAAAAAGCCCAAAATAGAACACAACGAGCTAATGACTATCCAGCTGATATTGCTGTAAAGCCTGCAATTTTAAAATAAAATTTTCAATTTTAATTTATTTTAGGCTTGCGAATCGGAGAAACATTTTAAATTTGCAAATATGACACAATTTGCTGTAAAATAAATTTTAATCTTGAAATTTTTTAATTATTCAAAAAATTTTAAGCCTCTACAAAATTGGGACGGACTTAGAAACGAATATACCGATAATATGTTTGAATATCAACAAAGACCTACTTGTAGCTTTACTACTGAATGCGGATCAAAGTAGGGGATTAATAAATTAAATTGCACTAAGTGGAAGGATGACTCCATCTGGTTCTATTGAGAAAATTTGCCTTGCTACTACCCGTATTTAGGGGTTTTGCCTTTAGATCTATTTTATTTTAAAGGCCCCCTCCCGTTAATCTACATTAATCTCTCTGTCTCCCGTCTCCCTCCCGTTAATCTCTCTGCTTCCTAAACAAAATATTTTGGTTGCAGCGCTTAAGGTTTAATTTGTTAGTTTTGATTAAATCTTCGGATATCGAGATTAGAAAACGATATCCGCACCAAAATTTTGCATACAGGATTTTTTTCTGTTCACTTCAAACCTCACGCCATCCTTCTCCTATCACTAATACCAATTTTTTTCAAATTACTTTTTAAATTAAACACAAATAATTATTTGTTAAATTCAGATATTTATTTTGTGACCGATCCCATACAGTTCCATTGTGTGTATCTAAAGTCCGTCAAGGTGGCAACTGTTCTGGCTTTACTAATGGCAAGTTTTATGGATTTGGAATTTTCTAAAATTTAATTTTTTTGTAGGAGAAGATCCTTGTCTAAACAGTAATTGTGTAAATGGTACTTGTATTTTACAATAAACAAAAAGTGAACAAAAAGATTAAAAAATATTTTTGTAACTTCATTTAAATAATTTTTCCTATTTATGTATTATAATATTATACTCAGACCGCATTATAAGATCAGACCTTATAAACGAAAAAATTGTATCTAATATCAAGTATAGTGTATCGCTTCCTGGGAAATCTCCGTATATCCGAACCGAAATTTCTCCCTATATCCGAACCGATACCGGATCCGGAAACGGTATCCGAACAGAAAATTTCCTAATATCCGGGGTTTTTTGGTCTTTTGGATGGATGGTGGCACATTCGGCCTTTTTCGGGCCTAATTTTTGTCGAGTCAGGCATTGAGTCAGTTGTGTCGCACTTACAGAAAGAATATACATAAATACCTATGTAGAAATAAATAACTCATCATCGGTTTGGTTTGTAGCACAGTCGGGTGTCTAGGTGATGGTTCTATTCCATCTTACATCCAATGAATTTCTCCACAGCTCAGAACTTTCCGCCCTTTATCATTTTATACATATTTATAATTCTTATTTTTTTCCTTATTTTGAACAAGAATTTTTGTAAATAAATAGTTTAATTTATTTTTAGTTTATGAGTTCCTCGTTAAATTGTTAGAACAGATTAGAAGTTAAATATAAGGCCTGGGGCATAATACTTCGAATAAAAGCTTTTTTAAAGCCAAATTAAAAGAAATTATTTCAACAAACACGCTAAATGTATTTTTAATTAAATTAATTTAATTATAATATTTTTGTTATTATTTAATTTATTATTTACACCATTATTAGGTTATTTTTTATACCAGGTGTTTGCTCATAAATAAAATAGCACTAAGCAATTGACGACTCTCCCATCCCTTTCAATAATTAATGTTTTGAAATTAAAATTTTTTTTCGTATTATTTTATACGATAATGAAAAATTTTTTTCGATTTTATTCTCAATTTTTACGATTTTATATTTTAATTTTTTTCCGCCTTTAAAAATAAATCTTATGACGAAGGGCAGATTTAATTTTATTTTACAAAATAAGCTCCTCCACATTAATGGCTATCATATAATCTCGTTTATTTAGAGAATTTCTCTCATTAATTAAACCATTTATTTAAATTTCTTTTTAAAACACTCATTCACTAAAAAATTTTTTGCGCTGGTGTAGTTTATGCGTCCAATGAAATTTAGACGTTAATTCAACAAAAACTTAGGGGTTTCTTGGTGTTGCAATGATTGGGTATGGTTCCAAACAACATTATAGGCCCGCATTTTTTATGCCACCCATTTCCTTCTTCTTTCCTCTCTTTTGCCTTTCTATTTTCTCTTCAAGATTAAAAAATGGTCAAAGTCAATTAATGGGCAAGGATTAAATTCATTTATAAAAACGAAAAATTATTTATAAAAAGGGCAAAATGACAATATATAAACATTATTTTGGAGGATTAATTCCGCAATTTTTATATAAACTCCATTCAAAAAATTCCTTTCTTAACTTCTTGTCTGCACATGAATTCTGCTAAATAACTTTCAAATGATGCGCGCTGTTCCACGATGTTTTTTGTTTCTCCATTTCGCAGATCCCCAAAATCGTTCTATTTTTTGTGTATTAGCTAAGTTTATCGGATCCACGAAGTTGTAACGATGATAGACAGTGAAGTGAAAAAAGCCAGCCTGCAGAAGTTCATCATGCTTGTATCATTTCCAACTGTCAGAAATAATTAGCGTCTCAGGGCTTATGTGCTTCTCAATCTCTGCCATCAGCGTTTTTACAGACACTTAATTTATTACGTCATTTCAAAATTTTTAATGGGCATATTTTAAATAAAATATTTTATTTAAAATTATTTTTAAAGGAATGTTAAGAAATAAATTTAATTTGTTATTATTAAATTTAATTCTTTATTTACTATATTCTGTTGCTGCAAATGATTCTTCTGAAGAAGAATATAATCCTGAAGGATCTGAAAATTCATTATCAGAAGATTCTGTTGGTGCATATAATTGTTCTGAAGAATATAATTCCGAAAATAAGGAAGAAAAGAGAAGACGAAAAAAACAAAGATTTTTAAACGAACTAAATGAAAGAATGGAAGGAACTTCAACTAGTAAGCAAAATATATGGGTAAAAAAGAAATATGCTCAAATAAACGAATGCCAAAATAAAATATTTGGAAACGAAATAGAAATAAAAAGAAAATTTTCTTTAGATACAAAAACACAGGAAATAATTCTTGATAATTATATGGAAGATAATTTTGAATTCAAACATGCATTTGAACGTCGTAAGCAAAATTATAAATCAGAAAATAAAATTGAGGTATTTTGAAATTGTTGTCTTCAAATACGCTCATAATTGATACCAAAAATTAATTTGGAACATTAATTCCCCCAAAATTAATTCAAAAAATCTAGCAAAGGAGTGAAATTTGAATCTGTAACAATTAGAGATCGGACCGTACCGTACTACGGCCGTATTTTTCGGTATTTATCGGTATTCCGTATGGGTAGTACGGCACGGAATACGGTACGGCAAAATTTTGAAGTTGATCGGTATTTTTCGGTATCGGTATTTTTCGGTATTCCGTACCGTTTTACGGAACGGAAACAAAACAAAATACCGATAATACCGATCGATAAAAATTATTGAAGTTTTATTTTATTTTAAGCGAAAAAAGGCTTTCGGCCTTTGATAATTTTAAAAATTTTCGCCTGCGGCGCTAAAAAGGAAGAAATCTTGCTTCTTGGACTTACATCTCCTCAAAATTTTCGTCTGCGTGTGTTTATCACCCCAATTTATAAATAAAAATAATTATTTTTAACTAAATTAATTTTTTAAAATACGGTACGGAATACCGATAAATTTTTATCGGTATTTTTAGGTATTCCGTACCGTTTTACGGAACGGTAAATTTTTGAATTTTATCGGTATTTTTCGGTATCGGTATTATACGGTATTACGGTACGGAATACGGTACGGAACAAAATTCCGATCTCTAGTAACAATTGATCTACAGATTTATTCGGAAACTCCGATCCTACTCTTAGAGTTTTCCGTTAGTATTATTTTAATTTAGGAAACCTTAATGCAAGGATTATGTGTATTACATTTATATGGAAATATATCCGCAAAACAATTAGAAACATATTTTAAAATGAATGATGTAACGTTAAAGGGAATATTGCATGCAAGAAAAATTCATATTTTTAATGACAAAAGAGGAAAATTGTTAGTTTTTAATATATAATATCATTACAAAATCTTGAATTGTAATTGGATCTTCATAAGTCCTCTGAGTCGGTCAGCGCAAATGTAGGACATGCTGTGAATTAAATGTAGGTCAGTGCTGTGAATATAACATCTATTTTTCAACAACAAACTCAAGAAATACATCATTACATGACTTGTCCTTTCATAAAGCTAAATAAAATTTAATAATGTTATTGAATTTACGTCTATGTAAGTATTCATCCGAAATTGATGAAGCACCATTGCATTACTTTTCTTTATATGAGAATTTTGAATCGATCGAGCAGATTTTGAACCAGTTTTTAGCAATTTCTAAGTATTATACAGATAATTCTAATGTGCTTCAAAAAATTCATTTTATATTTAAGCTCTAATACAGTTGCGATAATTAATTTTCTAAAAGTTAAAATTATGTGTATTACATTTATACCAATTTCGAGCCACGGGTTTGGAAATTTTTTTTATTAGTATCGAGTTTGGGTACAATTAGGTAATGGACGACAACCCTAGTATATTCCTATATATCCTAGTTTAGTTTGATTATTCTTCTGAAATAAACTCGTGTTTGTGTGTGCTCATCAGATTCTTCAAGATAGATAGAAATTAAATTTTCGAAAATCGGAAGATTGTCGTGATATAAAAATGTGCTTGTAGATTGTCTCTTACCATTGGCTATTTCTGAAAATAGAAGAAGTCAAGATTGATCTATAAAATTTTAAATTATTTTATTTGATAAAATAATTTTATATTTAGAAGAAAATTTACGAATGAAAATGATCGTAATGAAAAAATTTGTCAAATTAGAGAACTAATTGCTGAAAAAAATGAAGAAAAATGTGGGGGAAAATGGGAAATTAATGGAAAAATTCATTTTTTGCCTAAAGAAGCAAGACAATTTTATACCAAAATTTTAAATTTGGCAAGAGATGTTGAAGAAAATGTTAAATATTCAAAAAATAAATTTTTGGAAATAATTTATGGAAATGGATTATATCATGAATTAGTAAATTCTGATGATGTATTTATTAAAAACCCCCAAAATATTCAAATGTTTATGACTAAATTTAGAGGAATTATTTATGATTTTAAATGGGAATTAATTTGGAGTTTTAATAGTATGTAGTTTTTATAAATTCTGTGTTATAAGAAAATAAAGTCAGCTCTCATT